TTCTTGATATGAGCACACTCTCTCATGACACTGGATTTAACACCCAGAGAAGGTTCTAGGGACTTGTCCTGCTGAGATGACTCTTGGAAGCTTGGAAAGAGCAACACTCACGTTAAATGAGGTTGAAATGCCAAAACTGCCATGGAAGATTCTAGAGAAATGGATCAAAAGACTCAGAAAGTGGACAGCTAGAATGGGTCTAATACATAAGACTGAAAGACCCCCTAGCTGATTATGTTCCTTTCAAGGCCTGGTGGTCACTCTATTTACTAAGGCAGTAAGGAAAGTTCTGGTAAGGGTGCACCAGAATTGTGGAGAAGCTCAGTGCTGACTGTCCACTGTAAGAAGAGGATAAATGTAAGAGGTGCTATTACAGAGCTGGGCTTCCTGGGAACAACAGGGATGATGGGATCTAGAAATAGCAGAGTAGAAGTGACAGCACTTAGCCATCAGAATCAAGGTGGGAGTAATTACCATAATGGATGACAAATTTGGAATGGCAACCGGGGGGGCCTGACCTGCAGAGATCTATGGAAATGGATAATATAAGATGATGTCCCTAGTGCGAGATAGATGGGCATTGCTTTATATATATAATCAAAAGTGACCAAGGATGAGCAGAAGGACAAGGTCAGCCTCCTTAATATAGAGTCACAATCCCTTGCTCAGTTTCCAGACTTGAGCCAGTTCTCAGACCCAGAACCCATCAACTAAAGGAGACGTCAGGTTCCCGTGAGGAAGAATCCTGCAAAATCATGCCACCTGGATACAGTGGTGATTCCTCAGTCCTTCCCCAAAGAAGCCCATGGATGTTATTCAGGTAATTACACAATGAGGAAAGAGAAATGTGCAGATCTCTTGGGAGCAAAGAGCCATCATGGTCCCCATATTAGATTTGGGCACGTAGGAGTCAGGTAATAAATGAAGCCCTAGGCCAGGTTCATCTCACAGTGGGTCCACTGGGTCCATGGACCTATCCAGTGGTCGTTTCTCCAGCTCTCAACTGTTTAATTGCAAGGGACTTGGTAGTTGACAGAATCTTCTCATTGGTTCCTTGACCAGTAGAGTAAGAGCTATGTTGTAGCAAAGACTAAATGGAAGCTTCGGAAACCATATCTACCTCTACTAAGACAGGAAATCATGAATGATATCACACTTCAGGGGGACCACAGAGATTAGGCCATCCTCAAAGACCTGAAAGGTGGTTGTCCCCAGTATATCCCCATTTAATTCAACAGCCCGCCCCAGGCAAAAATCAGACTGACCGTGGCAGATGACAACAGACTACCACAAACTTAACCAAACAGTAGCCCCATTGCAGCTGCTATGCTGGATATGGTATCTCTACCTGAGCAGATCAACACGGCCTCTGGTGAGTGGCGTGTACCTGTTGACCTGGCCAGTGCACTCTGTTCCGTGCAGATCAGTTTGCATTCACATGGGAACAGCAGCATATGCCCATGGTCTTGCCCTAGGGCTGTGTTAATTCACCTTCTCTCTGTCACAAGAGAATCTAAAGGGACCTAAACCCTCTAGATATTCCTCAGAATCTCTCACTAATCTCTTATATAGATGACTTTATGTTAATCGGACAGGATGTCCAAGACGTGGCAAGCACCTCAGGTGTACAGTCACTTCAAAGAATGGGTCATAAATACTACAGAGACTCAGGGACCCAATGGTTCTGGGACACAGGGGGACATTCCATTCAAAGTAAAAGACAAATTTTTGTCTTTTGCATCTTCTGCCTCGACAAGAGAAGCACAAGGCTGCATACACCTCTTTGGGTTTTGGAGGTAGCATTTTGAGGAAAAAAACTCTAATCCATTTTTGGAGTGAGGATAAAAATTGATAGTTATGAGTGGGGACCAAAACAAGAAGGGCTCTGCAGCAGGTCCTGGTTGTAATACTTGCAGCTCTGCTGCATGGGTCATATGACCTGGAAGATCCCAGGCTACTGCAAGGATCTGTGGTAGAAAAAGATGCTATGTGGAGCCTCTGGCAAGCCCCAACAGGAGAGGCACAGCACAGACTCATAGGGTTCTGGAGCAAGGTCAAACAACTGCAGAAAAGAACTATATGCCACTCAAAAAAAGCACCCAGCATATTACTGCACTCTGGTAGGGACGGACCGTATGACATGGGACATCAAATGACCCTGCAGCCATCATGAGCTGGGTAATATTTTGAGCTGGGTGATATCAGACCCATCCATTCATAAAGTGGGCAGGCCTAAGCAGCAATCCATCGTAAGATGGAAGTGGTATATCCAGGATCAAGCATAAACAGGGCCAGAGGGCACAAACAGGCTGCATGACCAGGTGTTGGGGACCCTCAAACCACCCATCGCTGTTGCACTCATGTCTCTCCCTCAGCTCACCCCTGTGGCCCCATGAGGGGTCCCTGTGACCAGCTGACAGGAGAGGAAAAGGAAGGCCCGAGCTTGGTTCCTGTGTGGGTTAGCTCCTCGTGTGGGTACCAGGTGGAATGGACTGCTGTTGCCCTGCAGCCCGATGCAGGAGTGAAAGATAGCAGGAAGGGAAATCTCCTGATGGGCGGGGCTTGGGCAAAGTGCACCTGGTCATCCACTTCGCGTGGAAAGAGAGTGGCCTGAGATAAGAATATACAGAGATGTATGAGCAGTGAGGAAGGCTCAGCTGGGTGAACAGGGGCCTGGGAGGAGCAAGACTGGAAGATAGGGACAAGAAGTTCCCTGGAAGAGGCTTATGATGGAGCTCCGGGCGTAGGTACCAATTGTCAGGATTTCTGTGCTGCATGTTAATGCCCATCAGAGACTATCTGCTGCAGAAGAGGCGCGAAGTGATTGAGTGAACAGGATGATTTGGCCCGTAGATGTCAGTCAGTCTGTGTCCCCAACCACCCAGTGTGTGCACAGTGGGCTCGTTATGGAGCAGCCCCATGGAGGAGATGGAGTCTGTGCATGGGCCAACAGCATGAGCTCACTTACCAAGGTTCATCCAGCTCCTGTCACCCTGAGGATCCGCCCTGCCAGCAACAGAGACCAACTCTGAGACCCCAATATGGTATCATCCCTCCGGGAGAGCGGGCTGCCACTTGGGGGGAAGTTAGTTACCTGAGACGGATGGTGATCCATCTTGTCCACGACTGACACACACTCCAGGTATGCGTTTTCCTTGCTGCCTGAAAGGCCTCAGCAAGCACCACAGCTGCACACAGCCCTTGAAAATGTCCATTACAGGGAGCGCAGAAAGGTTCTAACACAGTTCAAAGGATTCTTCTCGAGGGTGTAGGGGAGAGGAGATAAAAGGATGCTAAGAGTGGAGGTCCCAGAAGATCTTGATACTGACCCAAGACCCTCTTGAAAGATGTGAACTTTGACAGAGGGTTTAGATGACTGGCTTGACCCTTCCTGGGATTTACGCCAGGACCACAGCAACCAAGCACACGGAAGACGGTGCTTATTATCAGCTCTCGTGAGGCAAGGCAGACATTTGCCTGGCTTCTCTGGATATGTCAGGCCCAAACATTTTGTGGACATTAATTATCTCAGTGTCTGTGTCAATGCTGCATTTCAACTCAGTAGAGAAGATCTGGTCTTTGTGCAGCAAGCAATTAAGAAAGAAGGAATTTTTAGATAGATTTCAATGAGATGTAAAAGAAAAAGTGCTCAAGGCACACTTATGTATACATATGTATGATGTTTGTAGCAAAAGTATAAAAACACACCTAGGAAGCATTGACACTACCTTTGGAGTGTTGGTTACCTCGGGGCAGGAAGGGAGAGAAGTGTCGTATCAGTATTCATATTTCCAGAATGAAATAACATCTGGAGCAACTGTTAACTTCTGTGAAATCTGAGTAGTTGGTACATAATTCTCTGTACCTTTGAAGTATTTTATAAATTAAAATGTCTTTTCAAAAATATATCTAAACTTGTGGATGGAAATCGCTAGAATAAAGGAGCGTTTCCTAGTGGATGGGTATAGCAGGCCCTTAACGAGGATGTCTTTGTATATACGACAGATGGTGGGAGATTGCCCACAGCGCTGGACTGGTCTTTCTTTAATGCAGTGTGACCATGTTAATTCCCTGCTTAAAATCCTTCCGTGGCTCCCCATTGTCCTCAGGATAAGCTGATAGGCTTTTGGCCTGGTGATCCCAGCCCTCGATGATGGCCCCCCAACCTTGGGAATGTCACCTCTCAGCACTCCCACGTGCACTGCGTGCCCCCAGAGACCAAAGACTCCCTGAACGTGCCCTGCTTCACTTGCCCATGCTGTTTCCACCAGCCAGTCTCACAGTCTCTCCCCAGATCTCTCTCTTCATCCTTCAGTTTGGATGTCACCTCCTCCAGGAACCCTTCCCAGATAGAGCTTTTTGGTTGCTTGTTTGACCACCCAGCATCCATTCACCCTCCCTCCAGAGATAGTCCCCAACATCCATTGGAGAACCACGCACTCCCTGGTTCTGGCGCAACTGTTGGAGGAAGGCTGAGCCCGACCCCGCTCTGGGACTGCGGTGTGGGTGTGAGTGCTACGCTCCACTGACCACCAAGATGGCGCAGGGACTGCACACGCTGAGACTCCGGGCAGCTCTGGCTGAGTCAGAAGCTGCTGTCAGACTTGGAGCTGAGAGATGTGGGAGGCTGTTGCCGTCTTCTGGTGATCCCAGGAGAGAGCTTGTGTGGGAAAGGAGCAAATATGAAGGGAAGGAAAAATAAAAAGATGGGTCCTGGTGGTGATCAAGCCCTGATGAAAGTGCCCCCAGGGGCACACCCCGGGACCCTCATGTTATTTGAGCCAGTTATTCCCTGCACTCACGCCCATACCCACCTTCCTGAAACCAGTTTACTTGAGTTTTCTGTCACTTGTCACCAAAAATGTTTGGCCAGCTATACCTGCCCTGCCTTCTTCCCCATAGACTCTGCTTCCCAGGGCTCTTTGTCTGGTTCTCTGGAACTGGCACCACGTGTCTTTGTTTTTCTAAGTCAAATTAAATGTGACTCTAAGTGCCCTCACCTGAAGGGTGTGCCGTGTCAGTCATCTCCACACCTCCTTTGGATTCTACCAAAACTCCAGGGTGTGTGCAGTGCTGGGAAAACAGGAGAGGGCCAGTCTTTGTCCCTGGTGGACACCGACGTTACTGTGGCTCCTTCTGCTACTCGAGGCTGCTGTCAAGTGCTTCTCGCCACTTTTGACCTGGTAGCGCTGCTCCCCGTGACCATGGATGCCCATCACACAGTGTCTCCATGGGCAACCCTGCCTGGGAACCCTTGCTGTGCTTGAGCCGTCTGTGCTTCATGCCCAGGCTCCAGTTGCCCTGCTCCCCTGGGTCAGCTAAGGCCACTCCCCTATTGTCCTCCAGCTTCCACAGGCCCCTGCCCTTCAGGACACCACTGTGTTCTTTCCTTGATGGAAAGGAAGGCCTGAGTGAGGCCCCTCACCACCTGGACCCCTGAAGCAGAGAGTGGCTGCTAACAGGGTGCTTCTGTGTGTGTGTGCGCATGTGTGTGCGATGGAGGCAGATGGTTATTGGCTTTTTCTTTGGGGGTTTTTTGAGGCGAAATTCACATAGCAAAATTAACCATTTAAGAATGAACTAGTGGTATGGAGTACACTTACAATGTTGTGCGACCGCCATCTCCATCTAGTTCCAAAACCCTAGAAGAAATTTCCGTCACCTTAAAAGAAAATTCTAGGAACCAGTAAGCAGTCACTCCCCATTCCTCCAGCCCCCAGCCCATGGCACCCCACCAGTCTGCTTTCTGTCTCTATGGATGTGCCTATTCTGGGCATTTCATATAATGGACTCACACCATATGTGACCTTTTACCTCTGGCTTCTCTCACTTAGCATCGTGTTTTCGAGGTTTGTCCCTATTGTAGCGTGTAGCAGTACTTCATTCCTTTTTATAGCTGGGTACTATTTCATTGTGTGGATATATCACTTTGCTCTCCATTCATCTGTTCATGGACACCAATGGGGTATTGTTTGGCAAAAAAATGTTTCTACCATTTTTTTAATGCGTTACCAACATTTTTATGTCCCATGATTTCGTCTAAATGTCCAGCTACTCTTGAAAAATCAGATCTTGCAACCTGGGGCCCAGCTGATGCCCAGGACAACCCTCCTTCCAGTTCTCTCCTTCCTGGCTGTCATCCACGGTTCCTTGCCCGGCTCCTGCAGCCACCTTCAACCCTGGCCTGACCCATAGAGCGCAGACCCAGGCATTTGGGGAGAGGGCAACGGGGAAAGGGCCTTTTCTTTCTTCTTTCCTTGCAAGGGCAAGACATAATGGATGTCTCCATGGAAGATCATCCAGCCTCGGAGCCACCAAAGCAGCCTGCATCTGGGGACTGCGGTCAAGTTACGAGCTTCTCTTCCTCAAGACAGGGGCACTGTGAGGGCAGAGACTGGCCAGGGGTCAGCAGTGCACTCATCCATCCTGCCAACTGTGTCTTGTCCTCACATCCTCTCATACCCAGGCTGTGGCCGTACGCCAGCTTCCACAAAAGACTCCCCTCCCCCCACCCTACTCCCAGCACGTCACGATTCCCGCAGATCTTGCTCGAGTTGGAGGAATGAAACAGAAAGGTCACTTCACGGGGAGGGGGGGCCTTGCACACCCCACTCCTCCCTTCCTTCGTGCTCCCCAGCCCTCCCCACTGCTTCTCACACCAGCTTCCCTCCCTGTACCAGGCCTGCCATCACAATTTCCCAGCAAAGGTGCATTTTTTCCTCTGCTAGTGACTAGGAAAGTAAGAATATGTTCGTATTATTAAGACAAAAGGTTGTTCGGTGCACTCATTTGAGAGGGAAGAGGGCCTAGAACAATGTGGAAGCCAAAGTTTTGCAGCTCAGGTCATTCTTCCAGCTGCAATCCCTCATTTTGAAGTGGGCTTGTTAACCGAGGTCCCAGGAAAACCAGGCCAGCCCCAGCGAGGGCCTCCCTGGGGCTCTGTCTCCTCCTGGAAGACCCCGACAAGCCTCTTCACACTTCCCTCTATTCCCTGCCCTGTACAGCGAGGACAGCACTTAGCAGCCCCGTGGGCATCGGGCGTCAGGTAATTAACGCCTTTTATGCTCAGCAGTAATGACAGACTGGGAGTTATTTCTACGGAGGCCCACCAAGTGCAGTTCACTCTTTAAATAAGGACAGGAAATTGTCTGCCCTCCAGGGCTGGACCAGTGTCTGGGAAAATGCCAACATTGTAGATTAGGGATCCTTTGATGCTACCATGTTCTGAAGTGGTACATTTTGAAGAGTGCTTGTGAGTCTATGACTTAATTTCCCAAAATATATCTAGCAGAGCCCAAAACAGCTCTTTATCCCCCCTCGAGAATGGAGTCCCAAGATCCTGCTCTTCATTTTCCTGGAAGGCAGAGGAGAGCTAATCCCAGTGAGAGCCCTGTACTGGCACCCGGTACACCCACACCTGTGTCCCTGAATCCTTGGGACAACTCTACGGGAGACAGAATTTTCCCTATGTTACTGGGAGGGCTTGAAGCTCCCAACATAGCCAGTGACTTGCCCACAGTCTTCCAGCTACGAGGGGCCAGAATTTGTCCTGTCCCCCTGCCCACCCGAGCCAGCTGGCCAGGCCTTGGTTTTGTCAGCAGTAACTTCTGGCACCTTTGGTTTGGGCGTAAAAACCCACTTAGAGTTTCATCACTTGTGTGTCACATTTGGAATCCTAGGGTTTGGGGTTGTTTCTTCTTTCAGCAGGTGAATCCCCATTTGGGGCCCCTCAGAAAGATGGACCGAATGAACCTGCTCAGAACCGAGCTTCTGCCTCCCCAGGCCACTTAGGACTGGCGCTCCATTTAAAGGGAAAAGTCCCCGTCCATAGGGCTGGTGAGAATGCTGGCTCTAGGGCTTCTTGATGAAGGGCAGGAGCGGGGATGCAACACAGATGCTCTTGGCTCCAAGGCAGGTGGGGTCCCTCTGGCCCTGCACCTGCTGGTGAACCCATTCTGGGGGCGGCCTGAGCCAGCAGCCCAGGGCTGGGCACGTGGAGAGATGCCCAGGCAAGGCTTCTGTTCCCACTAGGCTTTCATATGCACGTCCAGCCCTCACACTGCCAGGGGAGGAGGAACCGATGCCAGCACACAGGAGGGAAGACGTTCAGCTCAGGGTCCCCTGCTTTCCACCCCAACCTCACGCGCTCATTCTATAGAGGCAGTGGCTCAGGTACCTGCCCCACGTCACCTAGCTGAGGCTGAAGAGCCGGAGCTGGAAATCCCCGGGAAAACGGGAGGCAGGACGCCTGATTCTCTCAGCTTCAGGCAGATGTCCTCCAAGGCAGGTCCAAGAATAAGAAGTTGGTGGCCTGAGTCTCTGGCGTGGCAGATATCCTAATGGCCCCAAATCCAGCCCCTAGTGCAGGGTTACACTTCATAGGTCCTCCATAAACGGCTGGTGGTGGAATGTTGGAATGAGAGAGGCCAGGAGCCCTTGTCACAGGCTGGGACTCCTGTTCCCACGGGCTTCATATTAAGCTTCATTGTCTTTTTCTTTTTCTTTCCAGATTCCCCAGCCCCTGGGGGCAGCCCTCCACCCTAAGAGAAACCGAGACATGGATGAGTCAGGACATGCCTTCCCTGCCGACTCGCCCGGCCTGCTCGGGATCAGAATCAGCCAACACCCATTCCCAACACACTGGTTACACCATCCACTCGCCACCCTCGAGCTGGGACCCACCCAGCTCTGCCTTTAAGGGTGGCGCTCGGCTTGCTGTTCTGCGGAGGCCCACACCCTCTCTGTGGCTTTATCCTCTACTTTAACCCTCCCACAGAAGCACAGACAGATTATCCCGGCCCCTGGGAAGCACCTCCAGTTCTCAGGCATCGGGTAAGTGACTACTGGTTTTACTCTGCATACTTCTGAAAGGACTGGAGGCTGCTGTTTACAATAAGAAACAAAGAGACAAACTACTATTAAGGCCAGGAATGAAACAACAATAGCCTTGGAATGAAGCCCATGTGTGTTTGCTTGGCAGGAGGCAGGAGTTTCTTGTATCAGAAATCCTGATTTAGAAAGAGCACTACAACTTACAGAAAATCTTGCTCTGAGTCTCCTAGCAGGCAAGGGGAAAAGTGACTTATGCTGCTCTCATCAAATAAAAGAATTATACCATATCTTCTCAGGAACCTACACTCCTAGTAAATTTTTTCTAACACAGAGAGAGGCTTTAAGAGAAAAAGTGTTGGGGCTGGCCCCATGGCCAAGTGGTTAATTTCGCATGCTCCGCTTTGGCGTCCTAGGGTTTTGCAGGTTTGTATCCCAGGCACAGACCTAGCACCACTTTTCAGGCCATGCTGAGGCAGCGTCCTACATAGCAGAACTAGAAGGACCTACAACTAGAATATACAACTAATTATGTACTGGGGTGTTTTGGGGAGACGAAGAAGAAGAAGAAAAGAAAAAAGGAAGATTGGCAACAGATGTTAGCTCAGGTGACAATCTTTAAAAAAAAAAATGTATTGAGGGGGAAAAAAGAAACCAAACTTACTCCTAGTTTTGACACCTTGACTACTGGACTCTAATTAATTGTCACCTGGAGAGAGCTTTCAGTGAGCATGGGCAGAAGCATTCATGGAAAATCTTACAAAATATGCCAAGTGGTTTTCCGTGCGCAGTTTTAAAATCAACCATGGAGGCTGCAAAAATGCAAACTGCTGACCTCAAACCTAGATCTATAGACTTGGAATTTCTGGAGGGAGGGACCCAAGAATCTATAATTCTCGAGGAATTCTTGTGAATTCTAAAATGGGAGAACTGATTTAAAACTTCCTTACACTTGGAAACCGCATGCCGAGTTGGACCCTGGGAGAGTAGCCCCCCTTTCCCCACTACCATGGCTGTGAGCAGCCGGCGGGGAACAGCTGTACTGCATGGTGGTAGCTTTACGACATGTCCCTAAATTCTTTGATACTTCTCCCTTTAAAAAATGCTTCCCTTTCTCTGAAATATGGGAATACTTAATGACTTGCTCCTAACAAACAAGAATTGGCAGAATGATGGTGTGTGATGCCCAAGATTGGGACATGAAAGGCATTATAGCTTCCTCTTTGCTTTCTCTCTTGGGCTGCTTGCCCCAGGGGAAGCCAGCCGCCATATCCGGGCTCCACTCAAGCAGCCCTGTGAAAAGCCCAATGGCAAGGAACTGAGGCCTCCAGTCGCCAGCAGTGTGAGTGAGCCTGGTTGCTATTGGATCCCCCAGCCCTGATGGAGCCTTCAGATGACTGTAGCCCTGGCCAACAGCTTGAGCACAACCTCACGAGAGACTCCGAGCTAGAACCACCGAACTAAGCTGCTCCCAGATTCCTGACCCACAGAAACTGTGAGATAGTAAATGTTTATTTTAAACCACTAAGTTTTGGGGTGCTTTGTAACGCAGCATTAGATAATGAATATAAGCACTGTCGTCACAGGTTCCAATCCCAGCTCTACTTGGCAGTTCTGTGCCCTTAGCCAAGGCATCTAACCCTTGAGGACCACTAGCTGCCTCCAACAGTAGAGGAAGCCACTGCTTGATCCTACATCCCTGGAAAGAACACCAACCTAGAGTCAGATCCAGCGACTAGGGGGCCTCCCCAGAGGCCAGCCAGTTCCCTTGGGGGAAGAAACTAGATCACATTTCCTTCCAAACATCTTCCGTCTTACACCTGACACAGGCTTTCAAACTCAAAAGTCAAGGTTTTGTCAACTTTATTCTCTGCAAGGCAATGGGCCCTGATTCCAGCGGCCTGAGCACGAGGAAGGCCCTTAGGGTAAGTGAGGAAACTCAAGTTCATGCAGATCTCCCCCAGGCCTTTTACCAGCTCTGGGCGTCCTTCCCCTGGCTTCTGCATGCTTTGCTGCTTAGGGCTGACCCCTGTGACTCTGACCCTTACGGAGAGCTGGAAGTGCCCGGGAGCTCTCCATCCCCTACCCGACTCCAGCAGCCTGTGGCCAATAACTGACTGATGTGGAGGAGAAACAGCAGCTCCTTTGCCTGCAGGTGAGCCAAGCCCAGAGCTCCTCACAGGCTCAGGCCGAGGCTGCCACTTCACCCGAAACCTCCTCTGGGGGGCTTCTTCTCCTCCCTCTCCTGCTTTCCCCACTCCCCTCTAGGTTCTCCTGGACACACTGCCTTAATAAATTCCTGGCGCCCAAATCCTTGGCTCAGGTTCTGGAAGAATCTGACCTGAGATTGCAGAAGGATCTGACCTGGTCAGCACCTCCCAAGAGTCAGGCCAGCAGTTACCGTTATTGGACACGTGCTTATGTGTTGGGCTGCGCCCCCTACATTTACAGCCAGATGTCAACAGGATTATTTTGGGTGCCAACTCACATCTGGAGAAACTGAGCATTCAGGAAGTCAGGAGACGGGCCCAAGCCCTGCAGACGGCACAGGCAGATGCTGGCACTGTCTCAGATCTGTTCCTCCAAAGCCACACTTGTGGTTGCACCTCTCTGCCTCCCCGGTCTAGGCTGGTTGGGAAGTGTTTCTACTTGTTTGTTTTTTTAACCCAGAAACACAGACGCACTTATCAGGTTACCGCTAGAACCACATACGTGCCGGAGAAGAGGCAGCCCTGGAAGCTCAGCCGTTAACGGCAGTACCAGGATTCCAACCCGCGTGCTTGGTTCTGTCCCGGACACAGGGCCGGAGGCAATGCTGCTGCCTGCTCCCTTGGCAATGAAGCCTGGTGTTATCTGCAGCTGGGGTGATGGTGGACACTCGAACACTGTTCCCCAAGGCCTGGCAGGGTGAAGAAGTGCACTTTCAGATGAACCCCAAGTTCCAGCTTCAGACTCCCTGGGGAGATGTTCTCAGCTGGAGGCAGTGCCCTAAGCATCACTGGAAACATCTCGGGGGGTGAGCTGGGCCTTCCCCAGGCAATCCTGGTCTGCCCCTCGTCTCATCTCCATGAGCTCTCTCACGTTGTGCTCCAGCTACCCTGAACACACAGAGCCGCTGCATCCCTCCGGGCCTTTGCGTGGGCTGTTCCCCTTGCCTGCGGCACCCCCTCCATGCTTCACTCTGTAAAGATCTCCTAAAATGTTGATTACATGGATGGCAGTGTGGTCTAGTGGTTAAGGGCTTGGGATCAGGCTCGAAATCCTGTGGCCTGGGCTCTGTTCCAGGCTCCGCTGCTGAACAAACGTGTGAATGTGGGCAAGTTATTCAACGTACATATGGCTCTTGTCATACAGTTCTCCGGGCCAGCACTGCTCTGGAGCAGATGGGGTGTAGACAGGGCACTCGAGACACAGGGTATACTTTTAGTGTTTAATTTTAATTGATATGGATTGACCTGCTTGTCCCTCACCTGGAGTGGTAGGATGCACTTTGCCAGACAAAGGGACAACATAGTCTTGGAGGTAACGATTCAGACCGCCTCCACCTGAGACCCTCTTCCCCAGGAGTGTTGGGTTCAAATCCCAGCTCCTCCTTTTCTGGCTAAATGACTTTGGGCAAGTATCTGATCTACTTCCCAAGGGTGTTGGAAGGACCGATAAGTGCTTTGGACAGCGTAAAGGACGTGCCACTAAATTGGGAGATGTTAGGGCCAAACAGGGGCTTCCTGGAGATGAAAAGAGGCAAAGTGTAGCTTTCTAATGGTGAAATTTCAAGCACATGCAGGCCAGAAGGGGCGCTGCATTTAGAAGCTGGGGACCTGTGAGTCCCAGCAGGCCCGGCTGTGACGGTCTCACATAAAGCTGATTTGGGGCTCAGGTAAAGCTCCATCAGTCCCAATGGCAGGGAAGCTCCCAGCAGTTGGGCATTGAGAGGGAAGAGTTCTTGGCAAAATAAAGCTTCCATTCAGGAAAAGCTGTGTGTGGAACTATGCCAGGCGCTCACATGGTTTATAGTGGCTCGTTTGCATGATGACAGCTCTGCAAGGCAGATGTCATTATACCCGACTTATAAGTGAGCAAATTGAAGCTCAGAGGGGTGGCAACCTGCCCAAAGATACACAGTTCATTAATGGCAGTGCCAGGATGCTAACCCAGGGTGGCTGATTCCAACGTGACAAGTAACGGTCACTGATTGCATGTTACAAATCATCCTCTCCTATGTTTTCTTGCTTGACCTTAATATCAACCTCTGAGGTAACAAATGAATGCCTGGCCCAGGTCTGGCTCACAGTGGGTCCTTGTGGTCCATCCTTGGAGCTGATTGGTGGTCATTTCTCCAGTCCCCAAACATATAATGCGAATGGATATACATTTACTTGGGAGTAAAATCCTCGTTGGATCCTCAGCCTGTGGGGTGGGAGCTGCCATGGTGGAAATGGCCAAACAGAAGGCCCTGAAACTACTCCCACCTGTATCACATCGCTAGGAGAATGGCAGAGACTAGGGCCACTCTTAACACCCTAAAAGATGCAAGGATGGTAGTCCCCTACAAAAGGCAGAGGGGTCCTGGAAGAAGACAGTGAACCACCTCAAACTTCACCAAGTAGTAGCCTGATGGCTGTTGCCAAATGCCCTATCTTTGCTCGAGCAGATTAACAAGACCTCATATATGTGGTAGATAGCCGTTAAGCTGGCAAATGCAGTTTCTTTTCTTCCCCCCACCCCATCCTTATCAGAAAGAATTCAATTTCACTTGGGATGGACAGCAGCACACATTGATGAGCCTGCCCAAGGGCTCTGTTACCTCTTCTGCCCTCTGTCATAATATAGTCCAAAGGGACCTACCTCACCTGGAGATCCCTCAGAACACCCTTGGTGTGCTGCATTGAGGAGATCATGTAATCGGAACAGAGGATCGAGAAGTTGCAAGTGTGATAGAGACGTTAATAAGACACAAGCACTCCAGAGGGTGGAAGATAAATCCTATGACAGCTCAGGCACCCACCAGACTGGGCAAGCATTCAGGGGTCCAGTGGTGTGGGGGCATGCCAGAACAGCCCCTCCGATGTAAAGAGTACATTAGAGAATTAATGGAGCGGGTACCCTGAGAGGATGGGGGGTCATCCTCCAAGAGTCACTACGTACCCTGGCACCCTAAGTCAATGGGCATCATATGGTACTGTGTCCCCATTAGAGAGAATACACACTCTGGAAACCAAAGAGGGAGAGCCAGAGTGGCCCTACTTACTGTCACTTCTGGGAACACAGTTGGAGAATTTCATGTCCCATCCCCACACTGCAGGTTTAGAAATCCTGGTTTCCAGAAAAGAAAACACTTCCACCAGTGACACAGTGACGATTCCATTAAACCCCAAGCTGCGGCTGCTGCCTGGTCACTTTGGGCTCCTCATGCCCAGAGGCCAGCAGGAAAGGAGAGGAGTCACCTTCTCAGCTGAGGTCATGGACTGTGGTCATTGGAAAAAGCCCAGCTGCTGAAACACGATGGGGGCAGGAAAGAATATATTTGGCACCCAAGCGGTCCACAGGGGCATCTCTTCGTTCTCCTGTCCCCAATTTTGACAAGAAATGAACAGGTACATGGATCAAGAAGGGCATAGTGATGAGGGGCACAGACCTTTCAGGGATAAGGGTCTCAGTCGCCCCACCATCCAAGCCACCGCCAGTGGAGGTGATAGCTCAGGGTGAGGGGACGTGAGAATGGATGGTGGAGAAGAGGATGGTGAGTATCAATTACACCCTCAAGACCAGCTGAATATCAGCCCTCTAACCTTCCCCCTGTAAGATTCCCCAGGAAAAGAGGCCTAACAGAATCTGGAGGAGCTGCTTCCAAAACTTATCCTATGAAACTAGTGAATTCGAGCAGCGCAAGGGGCGGTGGACGCTACGTGCACGGCCCAGATACATCCTCCCGGCTCCAGCACTGAAGACTCGCACCGCCAGCTCCTGAGGGCTCATGGCTGAGTCCCCCTCCGGGACTTGCCCTCAGCTGCAGAGAACCCGCTTAGCCAAGGTCAAGTTCTGTCCACAAGGGCAACTCGCAGTCAATGACTGGTCACTGTGGCCCCACAGCCTCGCCCCCATTTAGGTCAACTCAGAAGACCTTGGAAGAACCCAGAGCTCTCCATAGGATGGACTGAGGTCTTGGTCACAACTGAATCACGTTCAAACTCTCCCTCTGGGGACAACCTGCTCTCTTCACTCCACTAGAGGCCTTGATCCCAAGAGCCCTCTCCAGCAAGCCTGGATTTGGCAGACAAATCTATGCCCAACGTGTTTCCTAGGGACCCACTTGAGACAGAGACCCCCATCCAACCAGTCTCCACTGAAGGTTCTGGAATAGGAATCTCATCCCACACCAGGGGAGCCAGAAGTAAGATTTTATTTTTCTGTTACTTAACCCAGCTTCTAAGGAAGCCCCGTTCTGCTCAGGTGCTGGACGTTTACCCTGGTGTGAAGTTCAAGTTCAGGGGCTCACACTGGATGGAGGACCCTTGAGGCCCCTCTGGACCTTCCATCCTTGACACGCCCACCCGCAGCTCTGCCCCAGCCTCGGGAATCCTTTCTCACCTCCAGAAGAAGCACCGCGGTCCTCAACTCCCTCCCGCCCCAAACTCCTTTTCTCTGCCCCAGATCTTTTCAGTCCAAAGTTGTGAACAGGCGTGGGACAGGTGTGCCCATGGAATTAGCTGCATTCTAAACTTTTGATCATCAACATTTACAAATTAAGAAATCCCACATGAAAATCCGTACCTTTCTGCTTCCCTGGAAAGAAGAGATGAGGTATCCTTTAATTCCCCCGATGGCAACTGAAGCACGAGCTGCCCCCTTCGGCTAGACCGGCTGGCTGTGGTCCTTCCTGCAGTCCAGCTGGCCGCCAGCTTTCCTCGCTCAGCCACTGCCCCCGCCTGGTGCCAGGGCAACTGTTTGCTGCCCTGGGCTCCCTAAGGGCTCGGGGCTGCAGCTTTGGAGATACAAGTCTGCCAGTCTCTTCTCTTCTGAGGCGATGGTGGGGAAGGGGTTGCTGGGGGTGAGAGGGAAAGGCCGAGAGAGAAAGCTCCTCGAGGTGGGTCGTGAAGGCTGGAGAGCACTTGGGAAGTGGAAAGAAGAGGAGAGGACATCCCAGGCCGGGAGAACCAACTGAGCAAAGGCCAGGAGGTAGAACGGGGCTGTCCCCACCGTGAGACGGTGCAGGCGCCTGTCTGATTGAACCACAGGACCCCAGGTTACGGAGCACTGGGGGAAAGCTTGGCAGGGACACTGGGGACAGAGTACAGACAGTTACCTTGACCTACCCAAATCCCAAGCTGTGGACGGCCAGAGACACAAAATCAATTACTTCTCTGAGAGTTTTGTGTTTCTGAATGACATAAGTAGAAGAAAGTGGGTTCACACCAAGCTATCCTCCAGACCCAGGTCTATGCCAAACCAAAAGGCAATTCAACTCAACTGACAATTTTGGCTAATATTTTGTTCAAGGCTCTGTGCTAGGCACAGGGAGGAGGGGAATAATGAAGGCCACAGTAGGGAAAACCGGGTGCAAGTTCTCTGACATTCCTCACATCAAACGGCGGAAAACAATTCCCCTTCCTTTGCATATGGGTGACCCTTAGCAACTCAATTCTCATCAGGAAAATACAGCAGAACGACACTGTGTGACTCCTGAGGCTATGTCATAAAAGGCAATCGAACTTCCTCCTCTCTAGCGCTCTCTCCCCACCCCCACTCCCCGCCGCCCTCCTCTGAGGGGCCCAGGCCACAGAGAGGGAGGCCATGTGTGGGTGCTCCAGCCAATGGGCCCACATGAGGTCCTAGCCAACAGCCAGGACCAACCACCAGCCGTGGGAGTGAGCGAGCTTTCAGATGATTCCTGCCCCAGCCTCTGGCTGTCCCAGCTGTCACCATAAAGAGGAGTAAAATAAAGGTGGTGGTTGTTTTAGCCGCTAAGTGTTGGGATGGTTTGCGATGCGGTAATAAGTACCAGACAGAATTACACAGACCGTGTTGTCAGAGGACAGACTAACCCACCTCTTGACAACAGGCAGCCGAGCACAGTATCTGGCAGATCCCAAGTGCTCCTTAGCCATCAGATGTTTATTCTGTTTGTTTTCAGATGGAACAAGTCAGTTCTAAACTGGTTTTCAAGTACTGAGCTGTGGACACACAGACCACAGACATGCAGCCCAGGCAGGGGTAATGAAGGAAGGCCTCACAGAGGTGACAGCATTTGGGCCACACCTTGGAGGATGAGGAAGAGAATTTCAGGACAAAGGGCAGCACAGATCCCAGACACTGGGAGCTAGAAGGGGCCTGGGGGCCCCCTGGTCAATCCCAGCCTCCTTGGTTAAGGATCGGCAGCTCAGAACTCACATCCTATCCTGGGTGCTTCCCCTCTTCAGGCTGCCTGCTGCCACCCTCAGCCTGGGCATCCACCACCACAGTTCTCCTCAGCCCTGCAGGGACGAGGGGTTTGACGTCTGTCCCCTGGAACCGGTCTGTTGACTGATCGTGGCTGAATTGTGTGCTCCGAGCTCCTTATCTCCCTATTCCGGCCTCAATCCCTGCTGGGCCCAGCAGTTTCTTCTCACCTACTCACGGCTGAGTCAGCCCTGGAGTTCGTTACTCAGGCCTCATCAGGCCCTCACTGATGGACACTTCCTTCTTGTTCCACTGCCAACATCCGGCTGGTTCTCCACCAGCCTTCCCCGGGGGACTGAGGCTTAGAGGGCAGGTGGTTAGAACCAACTTCCCAGATAAACAGCCCCGGAGGATGCTTTTTAAGTTATAAAAGCAAGATAAGTACATTACAGAAAGTGTTAGGAAATCCAGAAAAAAATTCACTCACGATCCCACCACTCCACTCTGAGCTCATTCTGCTTATGTTCCTCGTGTATTTTTTCCAAAACCTACGGTATTTTTTTAAACCTGTTATAGTCATACTTTACATTTAATTGTAAACCTGAGTTTTCCATTTAATGTTGCAGTGCATGCTTTTGTCATAATTTTCTGTCTTAATGAGTACACAGTGGCATCGAGTGGCTGAGCCACATTTTCTGTGATCTTTACTCCACTGTTTGCATTTAGGTGTCTTCCGGCGTTTTGTCTGCAGTAAACGTTTTCCTGCCAAGAGCTTTTTCTGAAAGCAGAATTGTCTCCTCAGGACAGATTCCTGGGAGAGAAACGACGGGGTCAGAAGTTGTGGGCATCTTTATGGCTCTGGATATCCATCCCTCATCAAAGATCATGGTGACTTTTTTTATTTTGAATTGTGATTCTTGTAGTTGATGCTGTTATTGTTACGAAAGGATTAGATGATCGATGTAGAAAACCTGGAAAAGTCGAAAGATGCAAATAAAAATCTCCCGTATTTCACCCACCTAAATGGAATCCTTATCAGTAACGTGTTGGTGTATCTTTTTCCTGTATTTATTTTTCTTTAATGTAAGTTTTAGGGTTTTTTGTTTGTTTCAGTGCATGCATGAATTAACATAATTGTGATGATACTCTGAATAAATTGGAGATCACAGTTTTCTTAGGGCATTGCAGCTAAGCATTCTCCACTCTGTTGCAAACTCTTCAGAAATACCCATTTAAGAAATGTATGGTTTTCCTTTGGGCAGACGTATCCTCATTTACTTGCCTGTTATCCTATTTGGGGACACTTAAACTGATACTAAATTTTTCCTATTATTATTCACTTGCCATGAATAAATTTGCAAGTTATGACTTAAAAAGCAATTCACAAGTTGGGTAAATAGAAAAATTATGGAAACTCACAATAGAGGAATTGACTAATTGGTCTTGATTGTGGAAAAGATTAATTTAAAACCTCTTTCCTAGACTCATGACTAGAATTTAAATAACCAAAGATTTTTTGGGGGGGTCTTGTTTCGTTTTTTGACAATCAAAATGAACCCAGTGGACAGAATACTGACTGGGAGTCAGGACATCTGGTTCTCTGACGGCTTTGCCTCCTGCTGTGTCACCTTGGGCAGGTCACACTGCCCCTCTGGACATGATAAAATGAGCAAACTAGACGGTGCTGGCCTGGCCACCCGGCACTCCCTGGCTGGGTCGTTTTCCTGCCCATGCCTTTGTGAACTGCGCCTTCATTAAGCTCTCCTCAGTCACCACGTTTGAGTTGCCATCTGCTCAACCCCCCTCCCCCCAAAACTCACACAGCAGCCTGGGGACACAAGAGACTAGAGTCTCTGGGCTCCACCACTGGTGGCAGTTCCCTAGAGCAGAAAGTGTGCTTGATGCACAAGCCATTAAAAGTGGTTGATGTTGCTTCCTACGTACAGACATGGAAAGATGAGATTCTTGTTACACTGAAAAAAAAACTCCGAGGGGCAGAACAAGGTGATAGTGCGCTATCGTTTGTATAAAAATGAAATAGAGAGCTAGATACACACATATAAAAAAAATGAGCCCAGGACTTGGAGAGCAGCAGAGGGTTCCACGGTCACCACTGGCTATCATGACAAGTGTGGCTTATTCACTTCCTAACACGTTCTACGAGGCCAACATCACCCTGATACGAAAGCCAGACAAGGACAACATAAAGTGGGATTTATACCAGGGACGCAGGGATGGTTCAACATCCGCAAATCAACCAGTGTGATACACCACATCAAAAAAATGAGGAACAGAAACCACATGATCATCTCAATAGACGTAAAGAAAGCATTCGATAAGATCCAACATCCATTTATGATAAATACGCTCAATAAAATGGGGATAGAAGGAAAGTACCTCAACATAATAAAGGCCGTATATGACAAACCCACAGCCAACATCATACTCAATGGGGAAAAACTGAACACTGTCCCTGTGAGAACAGGAACAAGAAAAGGCTGTCCACTCTCGCCACTCTTATTCAGCATAGTACTGGAGGTTTTGGCCAGAGCAATTAGGCAAGAAAAAGAAATAAAAGGAACTCAGATAGGCAATGAAGAAGCAAAACTCTCACTGTTTGCAGATGACATGATCTTATATATAGAAAACTCTAAAAACTCCATCAGAAAGCTATTAGAAATAATCAACAATTACAGCAAAGTTGCAGGGTACAAAGTCAACTTACAAAAATCAGTTGCATGTCTATACTCTAATAATGAACTAACAGAAAGAGAACTCAAGAACAACCAGAATCAAAATGAAAAGACAACCCACCAACTAGGAGAAAATATTTGCAAATCATATATCTGACAAGGGGTTAATCTCCATAATATATAAAGAACTCACACAACTCAACAACAAAAAAACAAACAACCTGATCAAAAAATGGGCAGAGGATATGAACAGACATTTCTCCAAGGAAGATATACAGATGGCCAATAGGCACATGAAAAGATGCTCAACATCACTAGTCATCAGGGAAATGCAAATCAAAACAACACTAAGATATCACCGTATACCTGTTAGAATGGCTATAATCACCAAGACAAAAGATAACGAATGTTGGAGAGGTTGTGGACAAAAGGGAACTCTCGTATACTGCTGGTGGGAATGCAAACTGGTGCAGCCACTATGGAAAACAATATGGAGATTTCTCAAAAAATTAAAAATAGACATACCATATGACCCAGCTATCCCACTACTGGGTATTTATCCAAAGAACTTGAAATCAACAATTCAAAGAGACCCATGCACCCCTATGTTCACTGCAGCATTATTCACAATAGCCAAGACATGGAAGCAACCTAAACGCCCACTGACCAATGACTGGATAAAGAAGATGTGGTATATACACGTACAATGGACTACTACTCAGCCATAAAAAAGACAAAATCGTCCCATTCACAACAACATGGCTGGACCTTGAGGGTACTATGTTAAGCAAAATAAGTCAGACAGAGAAAGACAAACACAGTATGATTTCACTCATATGTGGAAGATAAACAAACACATGGACAAAGAGAACAAATTAGTGGTTACCAGAGGGTAGGGAGCTGAGGGGTGGGCACAAAGGGTGAAAGGGCACACCTATAAGGTGACTGACAAATAATAATGTGCCACTGAAATTTCACAATGTTGTAAACTATCACAACCTCAACAACAAAAAAGTGTGGATTATTGTTCCCAGATAACCACTTCATTTAACACTAGGGAAAGAGTTTGCTCACTGGGGAGGTGACCTGGTAGATGACACAGACATGGACGGACACAGTGAAGCCAGTCTCCCCAGACACTTCCTTGGCTGACCTGTGGCTGACATCTCCACCCCCACCCCTGCCCAGCAGCAGAGCCCTCAGAAAGGGCGACTAAAAAGACAGATGGAAGGAGAGAGCAAGGGGGGAGAGGGATGGGACCAGAAGGGGTGGCGAGAGGGAGGGAAGGGAGAGAGGAAGAGGGAAACACTGGCCATCTTCTGAACAACCAGGAAGATCTTGGCAAAGCTTTGCTGCGGTTTCATGTAGGATGAGCTTGTTAGAGGCTCTAAAAGCAGCCTGCCTCTCGGGATGTCTGTCTGTCTCCCAGCAGCTCAGAAAGGTGAGGGTCTGGTCGTGGGGCGGATGGGACCTGAGGCCTGGGTTGGCCTGGCCTCCAGTCCTGGCCCTGTCCTCCCAGCACAGTAAGAGGTGAGCAGGCCCTGCCAGCGGCCAGCCTTGGGGAGGGCTTAGCGCCGGAGCCCCCGTTAGCTGGCCCACTGCAATGAGCGGCTCCAACAACCTGCCAAGGCTTTGGAGCAGAGCCGCTGATGGTGCTGAGGCCCGGGGCAGGTGGGGACCCAGGGGCAGAGTCAATACTTTCCAGATGTCTTTTTCTTATCTGTCGGGATTAATCTTCAGTGACAGAGCAATTAAACCAGACAGAACATGTGGGGACAATGAATATGAAGCAAATGTCCTGAATAATAAGGGGAGGCAGTGGAAACTGTTGGGGGAGCGTGGATGGACAGAGTCCTGCCCAGGGCCACACTCACGGCAGGGGCGGAGGGGGCCCTGGAAGACCATCAGTCTCCTGGGGCCTGACCGCCACTGCTTTTGAATCTTCTGGCCACCATTTAGACAGTCTCCTCTGGTCAAGAGGCTGGGCTGGCTGGAGAAGAGTCTCTTGCTTGCTTTCTCCGTGCCACCCTCCACCTGGACTCAGGAACTCCGCGTCACCCGCCCAGGCCAGCCTGACCGTAGGCCGTGTGCTGCAGAACATTACTCTTTTGCCCTCCTGCCCACTGCCTCTTGCCACCATCAGGGACTGAGCTAGTCAGAGTCTGCAAGCCTTTTTTATTCCCGAAAAATGACTCAGGAAACAGACAGAGACAAAAATGTTGTCATTCTAATAATAGCTGATGAGTTAGAGTACTTGCTAAGTGCAGGGCTGTGGTCAGCATTCTATGTGCAATAGCCCATGTGATCCTCACAACAACCCTATCAGGTAGGTGCAATTATTTATCTCCAGTTTACAGGTGAGGAAACAAGCACAGAGAGGTTAAGTGACTTGCCCAAGATCACACGGCAGACTAGATTTGAAGCCAGGCAGTCTAGGAATGTGTATCCTTAAGGACAGTAGCACATCTCATTACTGATAAAGCTGATCAGAGGACTCGGCTTAGATCTGTGGCCAAGGGGCTCGTTCATACATCCTTTTTGAATTAGACTGGCCTTGCCAATCAGTGATGACTGCCGTGCCAGAAGCGGTTGGGGAGTGGGCACTGGAGCACATCTCACAGAGGAGCAGAGGACACCCGCCCCTCAAAGAGAGAAAGGCCACTGCCCCTGAGCAGAGGGGGTTGCGGCACCTGAAGTGAGTGAGGGGCGAGCATGTGACCCGGCGTTGTGGGGCCTCACCCCTGCCTGCATGTTAGCATCATTAGCAACGCCCCAGCAACTTTCACACACTTCCAATGCCCAGCCCCAACCCCCTACTCCCAACTAACTCAGACCCTCAGGGCATGGACGCAGGCATGCATAATAGAAACTCTCCAGGTGATTCAGACAGGCAGCCAAGGTGGAGAACCACTTCCTGGGACAGTAAGGCTGAGAGATTCGCTATTCCCCTTTCCTATTAATTTGGGATGTGAGGATGGAGTAAATAACAGCTGTAAGCCACTCTCAGTCTCCTACACTTTAGTATAAATTAGTTTTGGTCATGATTCTCTCTGTGATGGCTAAGATCCAGGCCCCAAAGGCATGGGAGTGTTTATGGCCAAGAAGGGAGGGGTATACGCTCTTGATGAAGGCTGGACCGCAGAGACGGCCGGCTCTGGTGGGTGATGCAGTGGGGCCGGGAGGAGAACCCAGAGGGAGATGAGTAAACAGCATGCACTTCCCAGCCTCCTCCAGAGTTGGCCCCAAGTGGCCATCCTCCTGCTGTGTTTCCGTAGCTCAGAGTCAGAAGGCATCTTACAGAGCAGCCAGGGCCACCTCAGGTGACACACACTGGCACCTGCTGCAGACCTTTCCCATCCTCGGGAGACGCCTCTCCACTCCCGAGTACCTCTCTTCACAGACAGCTCTTCCCTGCACCAAGCTAAGAGCCCCCCTCCCGCAACATCCAGGCCATCCCCAGGGCTCTGCTCTGCGGAGCTGCAGATGAGAATGCCAGCCCCACCTCGAGAGGACAGCCCTTCAGACCCTGAAACCCATCCGCATGCCCCCAGACCAGCTCTCACCTACACGGCAGCTCCTCGTTCCC